CGTGCAGACAAAACTCTCCTGGCTCCAAGAGGTGGTCCCACCAGGGCCGGCTGAAGCATGTTAACCCCATGTGTGGGTGAATCTTGCAATGCTGCTGTCTCTGCTGGAGATGAACAGAAGGCATTGGGATCCAGGGATGTCCATCTGGTACCTTCTTGAGCACTGAACTGTTATTAAAAACAAAGGTATTTTTGTGGGTGCTGAGTGGCTTAGTGGCCAGGGCACAGGATGGGGAGACCGGGGTTCTATTCCCAACTCTGCCACTGGCATGCTGGGTGACCATCTGCAAGTCACTGTAACCTTTCCGTGCCTCAGTTTCCCCATCTGTAGAATGGGGATAATGATCCTGCCCTCCTCTGTGAAGTGCTTTCAGATCTGCTGAGGGTGAGTTCTATACAAGTGCTAGGTATTGCTGTTAATATTGCAGTCACTGTTAACTCTCCCGTTGGCTTTAATGGAAGCCAAGTTAGGCTAACGGAGCACTTCAGAAAATCCTACCCTCAGGGTCCAACTTAAGACGCGCCTCTCTCCTGTGGCGGATGGGGATCATTGCTGGGCCGGAGTCATTCCGACTCCTCCCTAGCAAGGCAGATCCCTTTAGCAAAGGGCGTTTTTTCTGGGCGTGGATGGAGCCCGCCTGCCTGGCTTCACCAGCTCTGTGCTTCTGTTGCAGGTCACCTGTGTGAGCAGAGGCTGAAGAAATCAAACTCCTTGCCACCCTCCCGCTCTCGCATTGTCTCCTCGCATGATGGGACCAGCAACTTCCACGGAGGCAGCTTGTTCTCCCTCAATACGCCTGGAGGTACGTCCCGTTGGCTCCTAGCTCATTGCAGCCTGGCAATGGCTTTTCTCCTGTGCGCTATTAAAAGTACCAAAGGTGACGATTGTTCAAAGACACAACTACTGTGTGCACTGGGTCCCTGGACTCGGTGTTTCCCCTTTTCTCCCACAATATCATGTTACAAACGTATGTTCTATCAGTGTGACGTGGTCCATCTGCCGGTGGGTTAGTGGGGATTTTGTTCCCGAAATTATCTACCCCCACGGCTGCTGCTGATTCACTCCCCTGTGCTGTGAATGTTCAGAACCTGATGTTTGCTCAGCGGGTGCTGACAAACATACACTGAGAGGCTGAGCTACGATCGGATTCTGCTGAACTCTCTCATCAGCCAATCTTAGGTGATGCTTTTCACCAGACTTGTTCCAGTTCCGAGATACGGTCGGGTCCAGGAGGTAAATCCTTAGCTGTTAAGGCACTGAGGCATTGAGTCTATCCTTTAGTAAACGGAGAAGCCCATCCCCTTGCTTGTCTGCTGGAAATGAAGCTGTTGTCAGAAAAACACTTGTATGAGCCTCCGTCAGCTCAGTCCATGATTCACAGGCCCTATTCTCTCACCTCTTTAATCAGACAAAGTGTTTGCTGAGGTTGGCGCTGTGAAAATCAAGCTTTACTCTGCAGCTCTGAGCCTGCATAGCTGGGATCCTATACGTGGAATTTACATTCCTGTTAGTCTGCAATTGCTGGGGCTGAGAGATGGCTGTTGATTTTCAGCCTGGGGGTGATTTAAACTCCCTTATATCAGAGAGCAGCAACAGCCCATATATTTAGAGATGGGAAGGTTCAAGTTGAAAATTATATTCCTTTAAGTAATTATTGAAATTTAGAGGCCTGCTTGCCTTTACCTAGGCCTGGACAAAGAGTCTTGGGCCCAAATTTAACTCTTTCCTGTGAAGGGGTGTGTGTTGCATTCAGGAAATGGGAACCCCTTATTATGTCTGTGTTCAGATGAGCTTAACATACATTTCACCCAGCCCTGCCTTTAACAATGGTCAGTGCCTAGCAAGTAAGATTTTTCAATCACTTTGGGCCTGCTTGTCATTTACATTTAGGTTCCTTGACACTGCTCTCGCAGCATCAGTGAGTCTGCGCCATCGTGTAGATGAGAATCAGGCTCTTAGAGAGAGAAATTAATCTTCCACATTCTGCTCGTCAACTCACTAAACGCACATCTGTGCCGAAATGCAAGTGCACAAGAGCACAGACGAACACATACATATACATTCTCTGCCCTGTGCTTTCATGATGCGTTTGTACAGCTGGAATTGGGGATATTTCTTGAGTAAGAGTCGTTGAAATATTTTACCAAATTAAGCACCTGTTCCCAAAGGAGATCCAGATGGTGTGTGAAATGAAAGAGAGCTGCCCATAAGCAGAATTCCCAGGGGAGATAGTGGGCACAGAAATACTATTATGAATCTATGCATGCTTTTAATGGACTTTCTGATGTGTGTCAATAGGACAGTTTGTCCCATTGTGCCCTATTGTGCGTGAGCGATTTATACAACAGCTGTATTCCCAATGAAAAACCTGGGCGGTCATCTGGGCACCACACTTCAGGAAAGATGTGGACAAATTGTAGAAAGTCTAGAGGAGAGCAATGGAAATTATTAAAGGGCTAGAAAGCCTGACCAATGAGGAAAGACTGAAAACAATTAGTCTGGGGAAGGGAAGACTAAGGGGGGACATGATAACAGTTTGCAAGTACATGAAATGTTGTTATAAAGTGTGCATGATAAATTGTTCTCCTTAACCACTGAGGACAGGACAAGAAGTAACAGGCTTAAATTGCAGCAACAGAGACTTAGGGGAAAATCTTTTCAACTGTAATGGTAGCTAAGCACTGGAACAAATTACCTAGGGAGGTTATGGCATCTCCGTCATTGGAGGTTTGTGTCAAATCTACCCTAGTTATCCTGCCGTCATTGGAGGTTTTTCAGGACAGGTTAGACAAACACCTACCAGGGATTGTAGATGATACTCAGTCCCGCCTCTGTACAGACTAGATGATCTATCCAAGTCCTACATTTCTATGATTCTATGACGAGGCACATGAAGTATTGAAATAATTAGACATTTTGCACAAAGTGTTAAAAAATGTAATGCAGGAAGAAGAAGAATCAGAAATTTTAAGGCCAGAAGGGACCATTATGATCTCCTAGTCTGATCTCCTGCAAAGCACAGAAATTCTCGCATTAAGCCCACATCTTGTGGAGAGCATGTGTGTACATGTGTGTCAGGACGCATGCAAGTGTGTGTGTGTCTGTCCACCAGAGAACCTCGTAAGGTTCAGTTCAGAGAAAAGTCAAAGGTTTAGATTTTGAAGCAAATTCTCTGACCTGGAAATCCCTCAAAAACATGCTCCCTCACAAGATTTCCCCTCCTCCCCGGTGGGTCAGAAATCCGCTCTGAATCCTCTCTCCCACAGCACACATTCTTTGAATTCAGCAGGAGTTAGGAAGCACAGAGATATGGGAAATGTAAATGCCTGGCTGGGTGCCACACTCCAGGTGGAGTGCTCCACGTGCCGAGCTGTGCACGCTGGATGACTGCACCCTCCGTGGAATGGTTTTGATAACAGAACATTCAGCTTTTAAATTGCAGAATCTCCCCTACTGAGACAGGCTTTTCCAGCCAGGCATCCTCCTTTCCCATTAACTTTTTGACATGGCCCATAAGGTTAAACATTGCGGACACTCGCTGAAATATGACTATTGCTAAAATACGAGCATTTTGGCTCAAGATGTCTAACCCAATTTGCCATGTTTGGGAAGCAGTTAAATGGATTTAAAATTAAATTCAGGTGAATAATTTGCAAATAACCCTTGTTTACCAATTTTTTAAGAAAATGTAATGCAGCAAGACTCAAACAGCCTATGTGTGGAGTTACACGTCATGTAGAGAGTTTAATCCCATGCATCAAGTGCTTGGTAGTGGATTGTATTTCACATATTAAATATTTGGCTGGCACTTCAATTGGGAGCTGCTCCAGTAGCAATTTTGTGGAGAAATGAGAGGGAGGGGAGCAAAAGAACATTTTAATAAAAATGTAGATGTGTGTATAGTGTACAGCAGGAAACAGGCAGGTTTTGAATTAAGGGAGAGGAGCAGAATTCTCTTTTGGAACATTTGGTAGCTTGAGATTGTTTGATTTATACAATCGCCAGAATATCCAGATGAACCAAGAACCCCATAAATCCCAGATGCTTGTTATTTATTCTGTATTTAATCCAGGCCTTGTAGTTATGTTGTCACTACTGAGAGGAACTTTTGTTGGCCACAGTTGGGATCCACAGGCCAGAGAGAATTAATATAGTGCAATGTGTCGCTTGGCTTTCCTTCTTGCTCAGATCTGGCATGATGGCCACACATCAGGAGAGATGTGATTTATCGGCTGTCTGTGGAAAGCTTCAGAAACTGCATAACATAAAAAACTGCCTGACCGCTCTGGGCGTGTTGCTTTCACTGCCAATTTCAGTGCCAAACCCTGGGAGAGGGACCTTGGTATAATTCCAGGCTTCGACTGGAACAACTCAGCTTTAACCGGCCCCATAGGCCAGACTAAGGCTTGGTCAAGGAAAGAACAGTATGTACCGCAAAGTGGCTGTTCCTCAGCTCCCCTTCCTGGTGGTTACCGCTTCACTTAGCTTGCCGGTCTAGAAGGCTTCAAACACCTGCATGCTTGAGGCAACTCAAGTCAGCACATCCGTCTGTTTGCCCATGTCATCCATCCATCTCCATTTCAGCTGGCTACTGCACGGCCCCCAATGGGGTCCACACCCCGACTCCCTCAGCCCCAGACTCTGACCTTTGTTTCCTTTGCACCCAGCTAAGAACGTCTCCCAAGCCCAGAAGCTGGCGGACGTGGACAGCGAGCTGGCTGCCATGCTGTTCAGCCGCCTGCAGGAAGTGAGCACGGCCTTCCAGCACGTCAGCCGCGAGGCCAGCGCCATCCGCAGGCGGAAGCTGGAGAGGATGATGATGGTGCGACAGCTCGAAGCCCAGGAGGACGTCAGTGGGAGGAGAGCAAGCCGTATGGTGAGGAGCACGGAGCGCTGTCGGAACGATCTTGGGACCAGAGAGCAAACGGGAGCCAGGCCTGACAAAACACCCTGTCACATCTCTCGTGTCAGGGCTGGGGTCGGGTTCCTTAGACATGCAGGGGAGGGGCCCACATCAGTGTGTTGGTCATAGGCGTCTCTTCTTCGATAGGGCCGGCGTGAGGAGCGCATCCAGCATTCCAGGGACCTGGAGATTATTGATGCCTACCGGGAGCGCATCAAGGCCGAGAGCATCTCTAGCATGCTGATTCAGGCCATCACCACCAACTACACGCTCTATGCCACACTGGGCACAGCAGAGTTCTTTGAATTTGCCCTGAGAAACCCATACAACGTCCAGCACACGGTGACGATCGAGATCGACCACCCTGAGCTGAGGTAGGAGCCAGAGACATTCTCCCCTCCCAAATACTGCACGTTACACTTGGAAAGCCAGCCCAGAGCAGAGAGGCACTTACGGAAGTGCGAGACAAGAGGTGTCTTTGGGATCGAGCTTGTTGCTTTTCCATCTAGCGTTTGAGGCTTTATTGGGAAAGGGGGTCAGTCTATAATGAGGGCTCCATCATATACCAATGACCTGCTTTCCCCCCTCCAGAGATTTCACTTTTCTTTGTTTTCTTCCCACGTCCCGTATCACTATGCAAAGGGATGGGAGAATGCAAGTTACCGAGAAGCTAAGCACAGAGGAGTTGCCACCCTAGTTATCCTGCCGCTAGCAGTGACCAATGCAACCACCATCTGTAATTCACGTGCCTCACTGTGCAGTGTTCCGGGGGTGTGTGTGTGTATTGGGGGAGAGGAGAGGTCTTCATTTCCCAGATCAAAGGTGTGGTGGATTTTGGAGTTTTCTTTCCATTTAATGGGTGCGTGCACATTCCAGCCACGGTCTTTGTTCCAACCCCACCCCACCCGCCCCGCACACTGAGGTTTAGGTATAACTCACAGCCACATTTTGGGATCGGGGGGAACCCCAGCTCCCGGGTTTCTGTCCCCAAAGTAACTCTGCCTATGATTTTTTTCCACAGTGTTATTGTGGACAGTAGGGAGTGGAGACACTTCAAAGAGCTGACCCAAACAATGACTACTCCAGTAGAAGAGGACATGTTCCATCTTCAGGACAACCTCATGCCTCAGGTCTACCTGCGCCCCAAAGAGACCATTCACATTCCATTTAAATACCAGACCTTCTCTGTGGACCACGCTGTCATGATGCAGGTACACATATCACCCTCTCTCTTCCACTACATTATGACATAGGACAAATAAAACAATGAGGAAAGAGTCCATTTGCCTATCATCATTATTTAGAATTAAACATGATGCTAACTGTATAAACTTCTATGCCCATTTTATAACCAATGCTATTTCTAGCAGGTGATGGGTAGTATGCCACATTGCTTAACATCAGCTGTTTTTATATTGCTTTTTGTAGTATTTCTATTTTTCTGTTCCTGCTGTCTGGTATCACACCAAGAAATTTACAGAAATATGACTTAGCTCATAAGGGGAGGCCTAAACATATCAGGTCTTTATTGCAGAGGAGCAATGGCTGAATGTCTTTGGGAGACGTCAGAAATATCTGGAAGAGGCTTTTCCGTAATCTTTTTTCTTCTGGCCCCAGCCAGAACCAGGAAACAAAGAACACACACAATTGGAAAAAATAAGAAGGGACTCAACCTTCGAGGCCAAAGTGGCTTGTCCATCTGTTGTGATTGAATCATAGCAAACAAACACACAGTGGTGGTGAGGCTCACATGAAGATTAAAAAAGAGAGGGCTTGAATTTTAAAGACAGTGCGCTAGCTTCAGGGGGAACAATCCCCTCTACCTTTGCAACTGGCTCACGTCTGCCTGTGCTTCTCAGTTCTTGTGTGTTAAGATTTAGGGCCAAATTCATTGGTGTAACTCCATCAGTGGGATGAATGCGACCCTTAGTCTGCTCTTTAGAAGCATAAAACTGGCTTTTAAAATGAGATTGTATCCAAATTGTTCCCTTTTATTCCCTTTTTAGCTCAATGCCACAGAATAAATGAATAGGCAAGGCAATGCTGCTGGGTGCTTGTAGAATTCAGAGTGGTTAGGCCAGAGGTACAAGCCAGCTATGTAATCCTAGAGTGCTCCTTTAACTCTCAGCAATGGGACAGAAGAGAGGGTTCAAATGATAACAGTCCTCCTCCCAGGCTCTTGATGTTGTCTGCAATACATTGCACTATGTTATTGATGTTCACAGTTTTTAGCAAAGCCACCAATGATGAGAACATGCAGAAATATAGAAAAGCAACTCTCACTTCCTCAACAACACTGCAAAGAGGCCAGGAACAGCAAGGAATTTGCAATTCCCAGTGTTTTAAAGTTAGTACCTGAATTCCCAGGTGCAAAGGAGAGCAGAGCACTTCGTGTTTTACAGGACAGCGTTATCTTTCAGATCCGTAAGGGGGATCTCCGCTCTCTCAACGTGCAGGGAACTTCCATTGATCTGTATATGTAAAGAGCAGCTGATCGAGAGCAGAGGGACAGCTGGAGGCTCCGGGAGGAGAATTTTCTCTTTACTAGTTTTCATTGTGATACAGTTTCTTAAACATTACAGATTTAGATCAAACCAGTGGTGAAAATTCCAAAGAATGCCTTCATGACGTGATGTACACTGCTTCTTCGCATGATTACTGCTTCTTTATTTCTAGCAGGGCCCTGCTGAGCTGAGATTCAATAAAGGCACAGAAGCTGCACCCCCCTGGAAGTCCAGTGCCATGCTGACAAAACGCATCAAGGTAACAGAGGCAGAAAGAAGTGCTGTCATCAGGGCTGGCTCTGGGCACCAGCCAAGGAAGCAGGTGCTTTGGGCGGCCAATGGGAAGGGGCGGCACGTCCAGGTCTTCAGCGGCAGTTTGGCAGCAGGTTCCTCAGTCCCTCTCGGAGCGAAGGACCCACCGCCGAATTGCCGCCGAAGAATGAAGCGGCGCGGTAGAGCTGCCACCGAAGTGCCGCCAATCGTGGCTTTATCTCTCCCCCCCCCACCCCACCCCCGCTTCGCCACTTGGGGCGGCAAAAAAGCTGGAGCCGGCCCTGGCTGTCGTTTAGGTGGACTGCAATGAGTTTTACAGCCTGTTACAATGATCAAAACCCTGTGACAAAGATTGAGCCTACACATGTATAATTCCTTTTAACTGCCCATTTATGGCAGACCATAAGGTTTTTCATTATCAGGAAATAAACTTTTGTGAATTTCATTGGATGTCTATTGTAGTGTATAGAAATAGGGTAGTATCCCTTTTAATGTGTTGTTATCCCTCTGCTGATGTTCACCGTGCTCTCTGTTGTAAATGCCACCACAAACCAGTGTGGCAGAGTATAGGTAACTAGGCTCTATGTGTTTGTATGAGAAGTGACACAGACAGGACTGGGTCCTAAATAGCCATGTTCTCTAAATATACACAGTTTTTGTTATGAAAAGAGCAAAAGACAATGACTTTACAGCCATGGCAAGCATTGTTTTCAAAAGGATTTTGTTTGCAAACGTATCTATTGACCTCTATGTCAGCATCCTGTGCTTGGTTTTTAATTCCTCTATCAGGTATTGGTTTAAAGCTATTCCCCTGAAATACATGGTTTCAATGCCCTGGAGATTCCATTCACAGTTTTAGATTTTACCATCACATATTTATTTAAATTGAATTTTCTTAATAGCATCCTGGGTCCCATGCTATTCGGTGGTAACTACTTCAGAGCTGTAAACAGATTGAGAATTGATTTTGTTCCCATTATTGAGCCGAATGAAAGCCAGAGATGGTATTTTCTCTTGCTGTAGTACAGGGGTCGGCAACCGTCGGCACGCGGCCCATCAGGGTAATCTGCTGGTAGGCTGCAAAAGATTTTGTTTACTTTAACCGTCAGCAGGGAATGTGGGAAGTGGTGCGGGCCGCAGGGACGTGCTGGCCACCGCTTCCTGCAGCTCCCATTGGCCGGGAACGGCGAACCGCGGCCACTGGGAGCTGCTGGGGGCCGTGCCCACGGACGGTCAACATAAACAAAATGTCTCATGGCCCACCAGCGGATTACCCTGATGGGCTGCATGCGGACGGTTGCCAACCCCTGCTGTAGCATTTGTTGACGGTCTCTTTTCTTTCTCTCTCGGTGAATTCATTGTTATTTTTATTTTGCACAGATCTCCTTTAAGGCAAATGGTGACAAACCCATTGCAATTCTCAGTGTTAATGTGGAGCCTCAGCCCCACGTGGTGGATCAGACATTCCGATTCTATCACCCGGAGCTCACCTTCCTGAAGAAGTCCATACGGTTACCTCCATGGTACACCCTGCCAGGTAACTGTCTGCATCCAGCTGAGAGCTGGCATGCAAATACTGTGTCTGCTTGTGTTTCCATGTTTTGTTTTGCAGGGTTGTGGGTTTTAAAGAGATACATGCTTAGGGATTTGCCAGCTTGCAGGCCTTCCTGATAACAGGGGCAGGAGATGGGCCTATGCCTAACAGCAGGGAGAGTGGTAATCTTATGCTCTTTTCCCCAGGTGCCCCAGCAGGAATGCCAGGTGGGGAACCGGAGATGTACGTCCGCTGCAGTGACCCCAACATCATTTGCGAAACAAAAAAAATGGTACTACTTACAAAAATCAAGCGGAAATCCAATGGAGTATATCCTTCACGTTCACTATCTCTTTTCTATTGATCCCTTTATCTAAAGCAGAGATACCATGCACCAATGGTTCATTGATCTGTAATGATAGAATATTGGGTGTTACTAGGTTGTGACTGCCTCACTCTCCTGTCAAAAAGGAACAGAACGTCTCTAGCCTGATCTCATCATGTTTGCAGCGTGTGTTTAATATCACAATTTATACCATCATTCGTCATGCTGCCCTGCATTGCTCATGTGAAGAAAGGCCAGATTTGAAATGCTGGTAGAAACTGCCACTTATGGAAACACCAGCTTTCCAGCTAGGTGCCACAGATAAATTCTTCAGAAATCAGAGGTTCTAAAACGACCAGTTAGGAAAGAAATAAAAATGTGTCCTGACTGAGTAGACCGCAAAACCTCAACCGGATTGTGGTGCTGCTCTTTGTGTCATATTCCAAGACAGCATCCAAGTACTCAAGACTCAGATACTACAAGGAGGAGGGCCACATGATCAATCAATCAATAAATAAACAGATCACTCTAACTTCTGATCCCTTTCCTTTCAGGCAATGATATTTCTCCATCAGACAAGTGTTGCTTGATCTCCTGCATCTCCCTCTGATGGCCTGATCCAAAACCCATTGACAGTCAGCGTATCTACTTCATAACTGAGACGCTTTCAGAGCGGATACAAAGCCCACGGAGGTTAATGACAGGCTCTCACTGACTGTCAATGGACTTTGGATCAGGCCATCAGAGGGAGATGCATAGAAAAGCAGCTCATGATGTGCTCTGGGTTGTAATTTTTAGCTCTGATTCCAAGTTTCCTGGGCTTTATTTTCAGCCGGTTGGGATTTAAATGAAAAACAAACTCGCACATAAATGCGGATGGTAATGAAGGTGCTTGTTAATTGCCATTGCAGAAATCTGCTAGCATGGTAATTGGATTATGGCTTGTTAGAAAACTTGGGGAAAATTCTGCAAAATCTAATTACTGAAACAGACCCGGAATGTGAGAGCCATTTGTATCCTCTTTTGTAATTAAAAATGTTGGAAGAAGCCAAGCTGTATAATAATTTAATAGGGTAGTTTAGCTGGATTCTGGAACCCTCTGCTTGTGGAAGTGAAGTGGTGGGGGGTTACAATAAAGGGAAAAGGAACCCCTGGGGTCCTCATTAGCTGGTTTGATCTCTCGGTTAAGTATTCTAATGATGCTTTCTGATTTCTGTACTCAGGGTCCTGGGGAGCCACAGGATGTGTTCTTAAAAGTAGCTGGAGGACCAAGCCCACAGATCAAAACATTCTTTGTTGCTATTTACACGTAAGTAGGAGAATCCAAAAGTAGAAGAGCGAGAATTCTCCAGAAACCTTGTCAGAGCAGATAAGGAAATGCACATGGAACATTCCTAGGACACTGGTTCCAGCGCATGACTTATGTTTCTGGCAAGCAAAAATCTGCAAGAAGATCTGTATGATTCTCTTGAAATACGTCTGCTTGCAAAACCTGGACTAGGGTGGAAGATGTTTAGAGGGTTCTGAAGATTTTTGCACAAGAGACAATAGAAAACACACGCAACATATAGTGAGGACTGAATGCACACCCACAGCGAGAAAGCCCACTTTCTGAGAAACTGTTCATTACAGTGATCTGCCTCTGTGGCAGCTGATGTCCCCTTGAGCGCTGAATGAGGGCTGAGGTGAGATGAAATAACAGCAGCTCCCTCTGGCCATCTGCTTTTTCTTTAGTTGCTTTTGACAAATCCATCTTGTCTCAGTTAATGGATTATTTCCCCACAGTTGGGCTCTGTGGGGTTGCCTTGTACAGCTTGGTGGGGAGAATACTCACTCCATCCCATCTTTGATCACTGCGGGGTGTGCACCCTGCGTATCCTCTGGGCTTGTCTGAGCCTTGGGGTAGTAGATCAACTTGACTTTCAACGGGACTGAAACTCCAGAAACAGCCAGGGGCTTTGGAAAATTTCACCTGCGTAAGGTTGCCTAGGAGTGAAGTCGATTCACATATCTCAGCCAAACTTGTCTTCTCTGGAATTCCTGTACATGCCTTTTACAAGGTGTACGTGAGTGCATGTGCAAACACTTTGGAACCGGAAGCACAATTTCCTCCTTTCCATCTGCAGTTGTATGTTTTCATTCATTTTGGAAATGCCTCCTGAACCAGTGTCACCTTTTCCTTTGGTACAGTCATGACAGGCGCCTCTTCTCTCTGCTCCAGGGACGCCTGGCTTGCTGCTCCCATTCAGATCTGGCAATTTTACCTTCACTCGCTGCAACGTGTGGACGTTAGCTGCATAACTGGCCAGCAGACCCGCCTTTCCTTGGTTCTCAGGGGCACCCAAACGATCCGGAAAGTGAGAGCTTACACCTCGCATACACAGGAGCTGAAGGTAGGCTCTGCCATTGGACTCAGCAGTGTTTGCTGCCAATTCCTCTCTTCCTTCCCCACCACAAAGAGAAACTTTTCATTTGGAAGAGTCTGTAGTTAGGGGTGAGCTGAAAATTAGTGAAATCCTTCACAATTATAATTATGAATGGACTTACATTGACAGTCCCAGTGAAAATAACCCTCCAATATGAAACCAATCCCATTAGGAATTATGAACAATTTACTGCCATAAAGTCTTCATTATAATTATCTTTTGATTAAAGTCGTCATGTGTAGGATCATTGGTACAAAACCCCAGAGGGCAAATTATCTGAATTAATGAGACTATCTGAAGACTAATAATTTCTTTAGAATTCATTTAGTCGTAATTATAAATGTGAATAATAAAAGACACACAAACTCCATTGCCACTCCATAAATTAGGAAATAAAGAAATCCGTGTTTAAATGTCCTCACTGAGGCAGAATGTGGAGATGAATCCCCTTGACGGCGTCCAAAGCGAGCTCAATCACCACAATGGGCGGCTTTCATTGCAGTGACCTGAATTATGGTTGGGAGTTGTGCATCTTGAATTCTGTGTTAGCTTCGTGTGACGTAGGGGCTGGGCTGTCATTGGCTGAAATGGTAATTAAAACTGTAATACATTGCAGGGAAGCATCTGTGAGAAGGCAGCCCCTGCCTGGAGCACCCTCAGTTTCCCCTTTCAGAGTCCTCCAAAACAATCCAAACAGTCTTTCTTATTGTAAATATAGGTCTTGTTGGGTTCGTTTATTACAAAAGTCCCATGTACATAAATCATTGCAAAAGTTCCACAGCCAGAGTCCAGATTTCCCCCAACATAGTCCAACCAGTACACGTAACATACAGCCCCAGTGTCTCTCACCACATCCCAGCCCTCCAGTGCAGCCCCAGTGTCCCTCACCACATCCCAGCTCTCCAGTGCAGCCCCGGTGTCCCTCACCACATCCCGGCTCTCTAGCACAGCCCTCTCCTGTCCTTGTACCAGAACAGCCATCCTTCCACCCAGAGTGCTAACCCTCTTTTCCCAGCGGGAACCCCCACAGCCTCTCTCCTGGGAACATTCTTGTCAGGGGAGCTCCCCTCATTCCCCCTGACCCGCTCATGGTTGCTCTGGGTCCAGTTCTGGCCCTGGAGATGTCAGTGGGCAAGCCCCTTTGCTGCTCCCTTGCCTTCAGCCCTCTGTGGCCCCTGGCTCCAGATCTTCAGCTTATTGCCTACAGCCATCTCCTCCTGGTGCTTTCAGCCCTCCTTAGCCCTCCGGCTCTGGCTTTCTGGCTTGGGGACACACCAGCCAGCAAACACCGCTTGCTGATCTCCTGCGTTTTCTAGGAATCACCTTCTGCTTCCTTCTGGGACCTCTTCTGGTGTAACCTGCCCCTGACTGAACCAGTCTGCTCTGACTCACTGGGCCTCTTCCTGACCTTTATTAGTATTCACGTGCTGCCCTCCTGCCCTCGTCATTGGACAAATGGGGACTCCTGCCCTGGCAGAGGGGAGCTAGGCCTACTGCACAGGGGCCAGCCACGCTGTGACCGTGCACATCAAACTCTGTTCAGATTTTACATAGACGCTGCTTTGCCTTTAGACTGGCCTCTTCCAAACCCTCTTGACACTCCTTGAGCTTTGCTCCATCAATGTTATTAGTTCAGGACCAAATTATCAAAGTGTCCACTAATTATGGCTGTTCCAACTTTTAGCTTGACCCCTAGAGCCTGATTTTAAGAGGCGTTGAGCACCCATAACTCGCCCTGCTCTCAGCTGGAAATTGGGGCGCTTGCCAGCTGGGAAAATCAGGCCCCGTGAGTCTGAAAAACTGGCCAACAAGTGACAGAGGCACACAGAATTTTGAAAACATGGGCCTTGATCTCACAACTTGTGCCTGTGCTAAGTGAATCAGGTTTCTTTTTGACGGCCTTAGCAAATGGTTTTCATTGAACTCTAAGGACTAGCTCCAGACTCTCCTTCCTAGAGCAGGTTGATAAGCATCTCCCTTTTCGGAGTATGAATATCATGCTAATGTGAAGAAGCTGAGCTTGTCAGCAGTTGAGGAAAGCATTAGACCCTGTCAGATAAGGCTCTGGGGCCTCTCTCAGGAGATTAAACACCCCCTCCCCCCTTGTTTGCTGTGTAATGTCACATGGGTCTTTTATCCGATTCATAAATCTGTTTGGCACCTAAAATGAAAGTGTCTGTTACTCTGATATTTCAAAGTCTCTTTTCCACTTCAAGTAGGAAGTTCCAGCTCTACAAATAACTTTCCTTCTAGCTAATGAGACGGTATTCTGGTAGTCAATATCATATTGATAGGGCTCTCAGAAAAGAATTTTTAAGTAAAACACAAAATGCCAGAACTATCTTTGCCGTGTATCAGAGGGGTAGCCGTGTTAGTCTGAATCTGTAAAAA